GCCTGCGGCGCCCGCTCCAAGCGCTGAGCGCAGCCCGCGCCTCCGGCCGCCGCTGGCCCCGCCGCCTCGCGCGCTCATTGGCCGGCCCGGCCCACGGGGAGCGGCGGGCGGGAGCGGCGAGCCCGCGCCCTCTCACACGCACCACGTCCACACGGCGCGCTCGGCGCCGCCCGGAATGCCTGCCCCTCGCTGGGACCCTCCTGGCTCTCGGACACCCTCGCCAAGTTCGAGCCTGATGCTCCGTGGTGCCCTCGGTCACTTGCCGCTACTTTTCTGTGCTTTCCTGTTAGAGTCCATCCCTCTAACAAACTCACAAACTCTCCTATGTCCTTCTGCAAGGCCAAGTTCAAGGAGCCCTTAGCTCCCAATCCCAGGCACACAAAGCTGGCTCATCCACACCCTCCTGTCACTTATTATCACTTTTCTGTTCCTACCCCTGGATGCCACCCATAACCATACTCAGAATACTCCAAATGTAGACTCAGGCCAAGTTCAAGCCAGCGTGGCCCTGAAATGCCCTCTCTCAAGTCCACTCCTGTTTGCACACCTTCAGGACACCCCGAGTCTGTCCCACAAGTGTGAATGAAATATAGAGTAAAAGGGAGATCTAGCAGCAGGAAGGATAGAGCCCCAACTTTTGCAGACATCAGAGTATAGACGTGGCTCGCCTGCACCTAAGGGTTTCAATTCCAAGGGCCCTTCACCTTGCCAAAGGCGCAAAGGTGGGCGACGAAAGGAGGCCTCTTCTACAGATCTTTTGTGATGTCCAAGGAAGAGCTAGAGATGGCGGGGCAGGGGGGGTTCAGGGAGCGGGACGGGGCGCATGCCTCTGACTTTGTTCATCTGTGGCCTTCGCTCAGCAGGACACTGGTTTCGCCCCCTGAAGCATCCGTCCCTCTCTGAGATCATTTTCTGGGCAGGCTGAGAGGGCGCCTCTCTCTTCGAGGCCGACCACCGATCAAAGTCTGCAACTTCTGATCCTGACGTCCCGACCAACCCACCCACCACGCACCACTGCTTTCAAAGCTGAGCATGGAGCTGAGAGGACCAGGGCCTGCTATACGCTTGGAACACTCTCCTCCACGCCATACAGATTCACACTGCTGTTCAATGGATGACCAGAGCACAAGATGACCTGTTCGTCTTGGGAGGAAGATGAAGATGAAGACGGTGGCAAAATATCACTGTGCTACAGAGGGAAGCAGTGGGCTTACACGTGGGGAGAGCTGTAGGGTTCACCTAGGCCCGTACACAACCTTACAGTGAGTTTAAGGTACACCAAAATTCTTCCAGCGGGGCTGGAGGAGTGACTCAGAGAGCAACGACACTTACTGCCAAGCCCAACAACCTGAGTTAGATCCACAGGAACCGCATGATGAAGGAGAGGCCCGCCTCAGGCCAGTTGTCCATTGACCATCACATAAGCGCTATGGAACACCCACTCACTCACACACATACGCAAATAAATAGTGGAAAAGGAGTTTTTATCTCGAGCTGGAGAGATGGTTTGTTCAGCCGTTGAAGGGTACTTGCTGCTCTTCCAGAGGACCAGAGTTCTATTCCCAGCACCCACCCACCTGCATGGCTCATAACTGCCTGGAACTCCAGCTTGGAGGTATCTGATGCCCTCTTCTGGCTGCTTCTGGCACATGCATTCAAGAACATGTATACAGAGAGAGACAGAGACAGACAGGCAGACAGAGACAGACACAGACAAACACACATGATAGATAGATAGATAGATAGATAGATAGATAGATAGATAGATAGATAGATAGATAGATGATAGAGAGAGAGATGATAGATAGATAGATAGATAGATAGATGATAGAGAGATAGATAGATGATTGATAGATGATAGAGAGAGATAGATGATAGATAGATTGATAGATAGATGATAGATGAGAGAGAGAGAGAGAAAGAAATGATTTTTAAATTCCTCCAAAATCAGCACCTACTTGACTGAGCTGGAGCATCAGTATAATTTACAGATGAAGAATCACATAGAAGTGACTTGAGCCAGGCGGTGGTGGCGTACACCTTTTAAGCCCAGCACTCAGGAGGCAGAAGCAGGCAGATCTCTGTAACTTCAAGGTTAGCCTTGGCTACAGAGTGAGTTCCAGGACAGCCAGGGCTACACAGAGAAATCCTGTCTCAAAAAAAAAAAAAAAAAGTGACTTGATTAAGGACACACTGATGTAGGGAAAGGAGCAAGAATGAAACCTGATACGTTATCCCTACACCGCTTACCCAGTGTGACTTCTGCTGACCTAAGAACAAACACCCTGTTCAGCTGCTCCCTGCCAGCACGTGTCCCCTGATTCTTCTGACTGCCATTAGAAAGTCCTCAGCAAAACATAGTTAGCTCTACTCGGCAGCATCCCACAGCCTTCAAACAGGGTATCTATCCTCTTCCTCTGGGAATAAATACTCGTTCGACCTTGCTGTGTTCTGGGCACTCTGTTGGGCCTGAAAAAATGGTGAGCAAAGAAAGACTTGATTCTTGCACTCTTTTGACTTGCCTTCTGGGAAGAAAGGAGGGTGCTACCACAGGATAAATATATGTATTAAGGAGTCCCTATAGCAACCGTTGTAAAAGGGAATTCAAGACATGAAAAATACTTGTAATGGACTAAGTAGGTCCAAAGAGGTCAGTGATGCTTATCAAAAGACTAACTCAAGAATTCAGTACAAAAAAAACATTGCCCAGACAGGTGAAAGGAGGAAAGAATCATTCCTGCAAAGTATGACATGATCATAATGACATCCCTGAAAATGGCTTTCACTGTTATCCACGTTTTGTGGTTGAGGAAACTGAGGCACAAGAGGTAAAGGGCATGACCCTGCAGGTGCTAGTCGCTAAGCAGAAAGCTGTTGTGAGTCTCAGGATTGACACAAAAGCTCTGTGGAGGAGGAAGTGGCATGCTTCCTTCGGTTCCTGCAACAAAAAGAAGGCCAGCAGGGCCAGGACAGGAAAATGAGAAATCGGATATGCCGAGATGGAAGAGTCAAGTGAGAGGTGAGTTATCGGTGACACAGTCTGTCCCAATCAGTCCAGTTAGGGATTCTATCTTGATTCTCAGAACAAAAGGAAAGCACACTTTAGGCAAAAGGTGGTGTGGTCAAATATGAGCATCAAAGAGATGCCAGTGTAGTTTAGAAAACAGAGTACATGACAAGGATAGAAGAGTTGCCCCAGTGTAGACACTACCCAGGAATGTTAGCTCATGGACAGAGATGGCACCAGAGGCAAAGATCATAAAGAGACAAGAGGATTTATGGGAAGCCTTTGGGTGGTGTCTTCAGTTGCACTGGGTGTGGATGAGATATGGGATGATGGCAAAGGACGTGTCTACAGGGTTATGGCTGACTCGGAGAAAGACTGGCACTGTGAACTGAATGGGAGATTGTTGTGCTAGAGGAATGATCCCAACACTGATCTCAACATAATGATGATGGGGTGTCATTGAGAACTCTAAGAAGAGATGTCAAATAAACAATTGGATATAACAGTCGACTTTGGTACTAAGGTCATAGATTGAGAGAAGAATATGATGTTTACCTATGTGCAATTATTCTAGTGAGATGCAGGAATAGGACTTGGCTGGTGAAAGATCAGAAAAAAAAATAAATAAAACGAGCTCAGGAAAGAGTCCCTTAAGCATTCTGGTGTGCATTGGTTGTGTAGGATGGTAAACACAGGGGAATATAGAAACAACAGTGAGAAAAGAGAGGGAAAAGCCAAGCCCGAGTTTTGTGATGTCAGCTCAGGAGAAAGACGCTTTCTCAAATGAGAGCACAACCATGCCTTTGCAGTATGGGGAGGTCAGTATGCTTTTTACCAGAAGCCAGTGGAACGTTAGAAGTAGACTGGAGTGGAAATGTTGACAGGGGGCACAGATAATGAAATGAGGAAGGAAGATGACTCTTTGGAAGACAGATGTTTCGTTGAGGATGAAAGTGGAAATCTGAGGATAATGAGTAGAGGGCAAAGACCGTAGTCCATTGGATGGTGTTGGAGTGTTGTCTTCATGGTTTCTGAGGTTTGAGTGTCTTCTAGATACTCAGAGAAGATCCTGTTGGTAGAATCTAAGCACTCCAAAACAGTCCTGGTACCCCCAGGCTTTGAGACCATTGGTAAAAATATTACAAGAGACACACAGAATAGAAACAGTTGCTCTGTCAACCCACAGGCCAGCTGTTGGGTTTTATCTCTACATCGCAAGGAGTTCCTTTATCTCATGGCTTTTATTTTCCTAAGACAGTAAGTGTCAAGGTAATCTGCTAAGAGTTTAAGAAAATGAGAGTTCTTGGTAGACCAGGGAAAGTAGAGGATTTGGTTTTGCTTTTAGAGAAAACTTTGGGGGTTTGTGTGGGGGTACATACATATGCACATTGAGGTGGAAGCCAGATGAGCGCCAGTGTCAATCCTCAGGAACCTTCCATATTGTTTTTGGAGACATAGTCTCTCATTGGCCTGAGGCCTGTCAAGTAGGCCAAGCTGGCTGGCCAGTGAGCCCTGGATGGTCTAGAGCTCTGACAGTCTGCCTGTCTCTCCTACTCTGTTATAGGCACATTCCACCACACCTGGA